GAGCACAGTATCAATTTCCTCTGGAGTCATTCCATCGATGACTTTGTCGAGCGAAACACCAAGAATCTTTCGTCGACATTTTTCTAACCCATACTCGCAGACGTACAAAATGAGTTGTGCGTTTCAACAGAGCAACATGGAATGATTCCTAGACATACCATATGATCAGTAAGTAGTAACATATAAATCAATACACGCACCCTGTGTGGGCTACCTTGCCTGTTCCCGTCCAAGGCAGGATGAGGTTCTTCATCGGGATAAAGATGCCAAATCATCCCCTCCTCGTCTTGCTTCGCCAGAACCACGTACTCCAAATACGCTCTAACCTGAGAAATTGAGCGCCAGGACTTCTTCTCGAACGTCCAGAATTTTAGCAGCCGTCATCCCTGCTGGTGGGTGTCTCGTACCCCCAAACTTCCGGAAAATAAGGTTGTCTACACCGGAAGGAGAATACTGGCAGCTCTGGGTTCTGAGTACGCTCGTCGATTACCGCCCATTCATTGGGATTGAACCTAAGTTGTTGAAGGTCAACGTTAAGCGCCACTTAATGAGCGAATTTTCTTTCGTTGAAAAGCGTACTGGGATGGAATGAATCAAAGGGAATTTGGCCAGGCGAAACATTACCGACTCGTAAATGATGAAGGAAAGGACAAGAATCAACGCTTTGATCGGCGAGCACGCGCAATACCTTCTTGCTGAAATTCCACGTTCATGGCGAAGAAGGCATCGTTTGGACCTATGGTGGTAGTGAACAGGTGAACGTTCTAGACAACTCAATCAAAAAACATACGGCAAACATTACATACGATTCGTTTCTCCTTATCATCCTCTAACATCATGGCCTTGAGTTGCACCACAAACAGCTTTGTGACAAAGGTACGCCTCTCGAATTTTGGACTTCTTTCTTCCAATGTAAAATTGCTACCCTCAGTAACAGAAGCGCGTGATGATCAAGTCCTGCTAAAGGCCTATTCACCGGCCACCACTCTGGAAACACATACAAGTCTTCGTACACAACCAGTACGTCGGTGTCAAGTCGGTGTAAACCACAACTTATTGAAGCACTATGCAATACCCCCCACATAAACCCACCATAATCGCATGGCTTCGACCCTCCTCTGTAGTACTCGCCCCTTGAGATCCCAATCCCGCCATCCAAGTTTACATGGCCGACCTAGTGCCAGTCATAATATGAGAATCAAATCGAAGCACCCTCGTCGAGAATTCAGTTAGGTTTCAACCGCCTCTCCTTCGACACCATGCAGTTGTTCAAGGAAGTTGGCTGCACGCAGTGATGCCGGTGTAAAGGGAGAGCCTAGAACGCGACCTCGATTCTTCCAGCCAAAGCCGCACGAGGACGTAGCCCATCTTGGGCCAAATCACGCAGAGTGACGACCAGGGACCGAAAATGGGGAATGCAAGAAGACATATGGCTGAGGGACTCCCGTCCCGATCATCCAAAGTTTTCCTTCCGCCTCAATCCCCCATTCTACTTCGATTCCCGCGTCTTCCGCCTCAACTGCCTCTCTTCCACTTCAAATTTCATCGACCCTTCATCCAGACCCTCATCCAAACTTCCATGTACGCCTTGGACAACATACACGCTGCCTCGTCGTTTCCGCTTCATCGCCAGGGTCCTTCCTCCACTACTAGAATCGACGCGTTCGATGCTGGGTGGGCGAACTGAGTGCCTGAGGATGTTGTGCTTGATTCCAGTTCAGTGAGGGGAAATGCCAGGGTTTACGTGGACCTGAATGACGTGAAAGGAAGTTGAAATCCAAAAAGGTTGGACTTGGGACTCAACCTCTACTCCACGCAATACGCATATAATCACTCGGAGTTGGGTATCGCCGTTTCATTGTGCTTCTCAAGCCCAATCTCGGATGGCAGATGCGAAGGAGAGGGAGGAATGTTGATGCGGACCATGTTCGTCCGTTGAACCGTTGCAGGAGTGTATCGTGCATGGTATGGGCGTTGTTCCCCCTTTGGACTCTTCGACGTCGACTTCCTCTTCGACGGTGCCATTCGCTCTTGCTACGGTGAATTCGCCTTCAAACCGGCCTTGTCCAATTCGTCTTCGACCGCCCCCCCCCCACTTCGGATTCTGAACAAGGGAAAGTAGCATCGCAGACTGTGCCCACAAAGCAGCCACCACCAGCTCCATCTACCTCTCCACCATCTCTGAATACGACCTGTATTGGCACTACGTCCCGGGCCTCGTCTGCGAAGGCCTTTTTCGCATCTTTTAAGCCTCAATAAAGAAGGCCTCAGCTCCTCCACTTAAACTCCATGGGCCTCGTCCAAAAAACCAACACCATCCATGACTTTCATGAAGATGTCGATCAGCAACGGTATTGCTGGCCTCGTGGGTTCAAAGAGACAAAAGACCTATATGAGCCTGCGGCTCTGTAGACAGGACGGGGGTGTAGATTGGGGTGGCCTCAAGTTTGTGGAGATTTCGTTCTTGCGCCATTCGGTGAGTTGTTTCTTGCGCTTCGCCCCTTTTCTGAAGCTGACTATTCTTGCCATTAAGGACATCGTGGCATTCACCACCATCTGACTTCTTGACCACTTGGTGGGACAAATACTTCCCTCATAAAAGTTGGCCCTCCGTTCAAATGGCAAGTGTGAAAGTGGTGTCATGTGAGGTCTTACGGTTTCACGGAAACTTTCCTGATTCAATTATGAATCGAAAAATGAAGCTGTGCGTCTCGCCGACATCGAGGCCGCCAGCAATGCACTCTTCGGTGTCATCTTCTCCAGAGTGACAATGTTTGTGGGGGCCCAAGTCAAAAGCCGAGCACCCTTCCTGTAATTCAAGACACATTGGGAATAGTAGGTTTCTTCTCGAGCTTTTCACCTCGTACGAAGCTGATCATTCTCGAGAGAGAATCGGTCCCCACTTCAACTCTCACACTCTCTGATAGTCGGTCGCGATAAATGTTCACCACAGAAGGGATGTACAACTCGACGCCTATGATAAGCTCAGATTGCGGAATCGTCGTATGTAAGGGCCTACGCCTTTTTGAAGTGTTTCACCAAAATGACGTGTCAAATAAGAGGGGGCAAACTCGTGCATCTCATCGCTGTCATAGATTACAAGCAGGACTTCCACGTTTCAAGTCGAGGTGGGTCTGTTATATCCGCTCTCACTCTGTGTGTTTACCAGAATAACAGACTCAAGATTACGACGACGGTCACGACACTCAATGGTCGGGACAGTTCAACGTGCTGAGATGGTAAGCCCTTATCGATCATCGACGGGAGGTCTTCATATCTGATTTATCGATCAGTTACCTTTCAGGCTGCCAGAAAAGCGCTCCTCACTGTTCAAGACCGTGACGGACAGGTCAGTGACCCACTTTTGCCAGTTTCAAATCCAGTGCCCAGAGCTACGTAGACGTGCGGTGCTGCTTAGCGCGGAACGGAGGAAGCTGGTCTGTGCGGTTAGGTGGGTCGAGTTTGATGTACGAACCATGTATACTCACCTTGGCTATTCTATTAGGGCAACGGGAAACATAAAATGGAACATCGATTTTGGTGGTTGAACCACCCCACCAGCTACAAAATATTCTGGTTGGTAGAACGTCTGGACCCCTACAAAACCTTCGCATTTAGAACTTGAATTGGATTGAAGTCGGAATCGCAAGTGGTACGTTGTCTATGCCTGTGTCGCATTTCCATAAACCCATCCTGCACAGATCGGCCCTACAATCGCTGTGTGATCACGTACAGCATTTTCCGCTTGCAAGGTCACAATAATTCTCGTTTGCAGGTGCACAGCATAAGAGCTCACTTACCGTAAATTCGAATGACATCTAACCTGCGACTTTCAAGATCCGCCGTAGAGAAAGTCCGCTTCCAGAGGGATGCCACGACGTGCTTCAAACCTGGGTAGCTCCCTGGGTTGCGACTTTCAATGAGCTATTTTTCCTCGAGAAGTCGCTGTCATTTGCGCATCTGAGTCCGCCATAGCTGAATCTGTGACCTTTGAGGACTCACAGGAGTCCAGTGTCCAGCCATCCCACGGCGACTCCCGCAATCTTCACGTTACAAGTCCGTCCTTCACGTTCAGGTTCTTGAGATATAGTTTGTTTACTTGGGTGTTTCCCACCAACCTTTCACCACCTTTCTGGATCAGTAAACAAGAATTCACGAATGTCCCTCAATGGAATAACATCATCGAATTCACCTCTGAGCCTTTTACTGGGGCTTTTCTCGCAATAGTTGCACAGAGCGGTCGATGAACTCATCAAATACCTCATCTACAATCGATACTCGTCTTTCGACTACGATGTTCTATTCACTCAGTCCTAACACGAATCAGCGGACTGCTACCCTAAGGGCTCTTCAACTATGTCATCTGACGCGTGCAGAAGGGAGACATTTTTGGTCGAGAGCTACATGAGGGAAACTCCGGAAAGGGCATTGTACAAGCTGAAGGAGCCCGCATTGAATGTGAGCTGCGTTACTGCCTTTCGTGTACATCCTCCATATTACCATCTCTTGGTCCTATACAAGTTCATTTCACTGGCTTCTTTTCGTTCGGATTATGGCATGTGTACATAGACAACAAAGTACACAGGGAATTGAATGATTAAGTCACGCTTTGCTGTCGTGTAGAACAAATCTTCCATTTTCGCTGGATATAATCTCAGTATTGATATCCGACACGCCAGCTTCTGAATGAGCCACGGTCTGGGGAAGGACAAGCTTTAGGAGCGGATCTTGAGAAGACGGGGAAATGACCTCACAGCATCCTTGACACCGAAGCATTCGTTGATAAGGGAAGATTTCCCTACACCACACTGTAAAAACAAACTGTAAGCTAATAGCTGAGAATAGAGGTATAAGAGGGCTACTTTGCCGATGACCAGGACTCGGAACCTAGCGGTAAGGTTTAGTCAGAGTAGTCGGGGACCAAGCAGACTAACCGTTCAACCAACTTGAATAACTCATCCGTTGTGGGTTGTAGGTCGCCACTCGTCGGGGGTTCTGCCTTGGTTAAAGCATTCTAAGATCGATAGCACCTGCATTAGGCGGACGCTTTTGCGTTTGAGGAAGAAGTGCACACACCCCTGCGTATCGGCTAAACTTCAGGACGACATCGAACTTGTCAAATGATTTTGACCATTCTAGAGTAAAAAGTCCTGCATCAGCAAGACAGGAGCAATTGCAGCAGGGAGGCACTTGCCTTGTTTTCCGGAGAAGTGGGGGCCGACCTTGCTTAGCAGTTCATCGAGAGGAATCTTGCTCTTCGACGCAGCACGAAACAATCCGCGGAATCGGACTTGCAGATAGAGGGACTCTGAAGGCGAAAGTTGACTGCTTTGACTGGGTTTGTCGTCCAATGCTACACATGATCATCGGCTCACCAGGGGGATGACAACTCAAAGTTGTGGGTCGTTGCATTCAGGAGACAAGGTGATTCCCGCTCGAACGATCCAATCGAAAGTTGGACCGACTTGAGGATGTGCTGGGATTCAACGCAGATTTCTAGCCAATGGGTGTCAGATGTTTGACTTGGGGGCAAAAACCTGGGAGGTTACCTGTGATCTCGATGCTAAGGCTTCCAGTTGAGCTACCCTTCGCGGTAGACATGGTGGGTTTGGTGAAAGGAAGGTGTTTAGCGCTCGGAACACGCTTTACACGGGGCATGGGTAAAGACTGACTGAAATAGAAATTTTAGCCTCGTTTAAAGTGATGGTGTCTGATACGGCGTTCGGTGTGACTGTCAGAGGATGTGACGTCACCTGCGAGCGCTTGAGCAGTAGTAGCTGGTTGATTGAGTCCGTTGAAATGAAAAGCGAGGAAGACGCGACATTGAACCCGTACAGGCCTCTGCCTTACATTCACAGCACAGAACAGAAGGCTAGTAGTGTCATCAGTTGTTCATGACCGTCCTCAAAAAGGGGGTGAGGTGGGGATCGCCTCGAGAAGCGTCCGCGGAAAATAACAGAGGGTGATTTGGGTTTCCGAAGTGAGTACAGGGTGTGCCCTATGACTTTCGCCATGCTGTCGGAGGCCAGTGCTTAGGAAGGGCATCGCATGATGGTTTGAAGTTCTACAAAAGGCCAACTTCCCCCACAATTGTGCCAGCGCACGCCAAGGTCTTTTGGTTACGAACGTACTGTTGGCCCGTTGCGGCTAGTTGATAATCTAGGTACAACTTACGTTAGAGGTGAGAGAAAATGGGAATATCAGAAAGCGTACTTACGGAGAGGAGCGAGTCACAGTTGAAAGAAGTAGTGTCGAGCTCTTACAGTCGAGCGAAACCATGTGTGCTCCTCCTCCGGTCTCGCATTGACTTTGTGAGGGATGAGATATGACTTTGTAAGAGCATGTTAGAAATTTGTGCGGCGCCACCCCTAGATATGAAATCAAAGCCCCAGTTGCGAACGTGCTTCTAGATTGAAAGAAGAAGGTGAAATTGCGACTTGAATGGAAACAAACGCTATGTAGGCATAACGAATGGTCAGTAGATAAAATTTTGACGTGTCGCCCCGGCTCACCTGGGTGACAATAATCCGAAGTTGTCATGAAGATGCGCGTCGACGTGGTTCATGCCCGCAAATGTCGTTGCAGTGATGTTCCAGGTGCCAGCACTCGTTCTGGCCAAAATGATCAGAAGCTTTCCTTAACATGTTGATCAGAAGTTTAACCCAATACGCACCACCAACCCAAGGAAAAAGAGCGTACGTGTTGGGTCGTGTTGGGTGAAAATCCAGGAAGGAGCCAAGACCTAGTATAATAGGTTAGCACATACACAACAAAGCCAGTAACGAGGCTTACTTTCAAAGCAAACCGGTAGAACGTATTGTGAGGTTGTTCCGTTCCCGTTCCTTCGAGGCATTGAAATCTAACCACTAGGCGTGTTTCTGGAACGTGACACGACGAACTTCCACGGCGCAGTACGGAGAATGTGCTTCGCGACAAGATCAGTCGCGTTGGCGTTGGCATTTCTCGAAAGGCAAGCGTCGATTGTAGATGACGAGGCTCATGTCGACCTTTCCCTGAGGGATTCTGCAAAACGTAGGCCCGAGCGCGGACGTTCCGCGAAACGGGTGATTCCCTGTGCCGAGGGAGCTTCGCATCCGCTGTAGTAAAGGGTTGACATTCATGACAGTCGTGAGAGGCGCCCCGCACTCTTCCACAGAATAGCAATAGTGACCTTGGTTCGCCAAAGTGTCACACTAAACTCTGGATAAGTACCTTCGCCAGTAGAATGAGCATGGCGGAACTCACAATCTCGGTAAGAGCCATCCCCAAGGTTTCGTAAATCCACTAGCCTCCCCTTGATGCCCTTCGGCTCCTCTTGAACGAGGTAGTGAGACCCCAGCTTGCGTTCTTTGGCTGTACTACTACTGGCATCCAGTTAGTACTTGCGAATGTTCGTCATAAAAATCAATCTAATGAGTTGGTTGGAGGAAACCCGAAGAAGACCCACCTCATAAAGCCTCACGGGAATAGGTAGTCAATTTGAGTGTAGCTCAAGATTTGCGTAGTCAATGATCACGGCGTCGCTTGCGTTTCTAACGAGCCAAAACCGAGCTTCGTCAAACATCGCAACCTCTCCCAGACCTCTCCGATTGAACCTAAGCTGTTGAAGTTTAACATGAGTGGCCACCTACTGAGAGAATATCGTTGAAAAGCGTACTGGGATGGAATGAATAAAACGAAATTTCCCTCTCAGTGGGATGTACCAGGCGAAACATTGCTGACTTATGATGCATGATCAACGCCTTCATCGGCGAGCATGCGCAATACCGTCGTCTTGCTGAAATTCCGCGTTCACGGCGAAGAAGGCAACGTTTGGACCTATGGCGGTAGTGAACAGGTGAATGTAGACAACTCAATCAACAAACATACGGCAAACATTACGACTGATTCCTCCTTATCATCCACTTGGCCTTGAGATGCACCACAAACACTGCAGAAAACTTTGTGACAAAGGTACGTCTCTCGAATTTTGAACTTCCTTCTCACAATGTAAAATTGCCACCCTCAGAAGTGCGTGATGATCAAAGGCCTTTTAAATTTCACCGGCCACCACTCTGGAAACACCCAAAAGTGTTCGTACACAACCAGTACGTCGGTGTAAACCAGAACTCGTTGAAGCACCATGCGGCGCACCCCCGCCATAATTGCGAGGCTTCGACCCTCCTTCCCACTACCTCGACCCTTCAGCTTCAGATCCTAATCCCGCCATCCGAGTTTACATGGCCGACCTGACCAGCATCCCTGCGTGCAGACAACCTCCTCAAACAGCTACATGGTGTCGAAGCAGGGGCGGTTGAAACCTCACTGAAATCTCGACAAGGTTGTTTCGATTTGATTCCCATATTATGACTGGCACTCGGCCCTTCCTCAGCAAAGTAATCCTCCAACGTTTTCCTCTGGTTTTCCTTCCGCCTCAATCCCCCATTCCATTTCGAATCCCGCGTCTTCCACCTCAATTGCCTCATACAAACTTCCATGTACGCCTTGATCAACACAAACTCTGCCTCGTCATTTCCGCGTGATCGCTACGCAAAGTCCTTCCTCCACTACTAAAATCGACGTAGTCGATGATGGGTGGGCGCAGCGCGCGGCTGAGTTGTGGGCCTGAATGACGTGAAAGGTAGTTGAGATACAAAAAGGTTGGACTTGGGATACAACCTCGATTCCACGCAATACGCACATAATCTCTCGGAATCGGGAATCATCGTTTGTTGTACCTCTCAAGCCCAATCTCAGACGGCGGATGCGAACGAGAGGGAGGGATGTTTACGCGGAGCATGTTGATCCGTTAAACCGTTGCAGGAGTGTATCGTGCATAGTAGGGGTGTTGCTCCCTCTTTGGACTCTTGGACGTCGACTTCATCTTCGTGCCATTCACTCCTGCTACCGTGGCGTGGCCTTGTCGAGTCCGTCTTCGACCCCACTTCGTCGAGTTCAATTTTGGATTATTCTGAAAAACTGAAACCAGGATGGCCGACTACGCCCACAAATCAGCCAACACCGGCTCCATCTACCTCTCCGCCATCTCTGAATCCGACCTCTACTGCCGCTACGTCCCAGGCCTCGTCGGCGATCGCCTATTTCGCATCTTTTCGGTCTCAAGAAGGAAGGCCCCTGGCTAGGTTCTCAGCTCCTACTCTCAAACTCCATGGGCCTCCATGACTTTCGTGAAGATGTCGATCAGCAATGGTACTTCTGGCCCGAGAGATTTTTGGGTAGGGGGAGTTTAGTTCAAAGAGATAAAGGACCTCTATGAGCCTGTGGCTTTGTAGACAGCGACGTGGATGCAGAGCGGGGCCTCAAGTGTGTGGAAATTTTGATCTTGCGCCCTTTACGGTGAGTTGTTTCTTGCGCTTCGCCCCTTTTCTGAAGCTGACTGTTCTTGCCGTTAGGGACATCGTGGCGTTCGCCACCATCTGATTTCTTGACTACTGGGCGGGACATATCCTTCCCTCACAAAAGTTGGCCCTCGGTTCAAATGGCAGGCGTGAAAGTGGTGTCCTGTAAGGTCTTACGGTTTTACGGAAACTTCTCGATCTAATCATGAATTGAAAAGTGAAGTTGTGCGTCATCGAGGCCGCCAGCAAAGCACTCTTCGGTGTCATCTTCTCCAGAGTGACAATGTTTGTGGGGGCCCAGCCTTAGGTTCAAAACCGAGCACCCTTCCTGTATTCCAAGCACATTGGGAGTAGTAGGTTTTTGCG